GCCTCTTGGCGGGGAGTTGGCGCCCTCCGGCGCCCCGCGCCGAACTTTGGGTGCGGGGCTGGGGGAGGAGGGGGAGCGAGGCCCCGCCGGGTGCCCGGGGACCGTCCTCCTTCCTGAAAGTCCTTAGGCGCCTTCCCGGGCGCGGCGCGGCGGCTCGTTCCGGCAAAGTTTGGCTGGAGTGGCAGGCTCTTGCGCCAAGGCCGCCCGGACCGGACCCGCGCTTCCCCCGCGCTGCCTGAGCGGGTGGCACCGGGGGCGTGCTGCGGGTTCTGCACCCACGCTCGGGTGCACATTGGCAGTTACTTTTTGAAAGACATCTTGGTAATTTAGGCTTTCCGATTACATAATAGAGGATCGTTACGTAGATCTTATAATTGATAGACGTACCAGGAATTCGTAACGTAACCTCACTTTGTAAGGACTAGCAAGCGTTTTACGGAAACGTGAGTTTTTAAGGGAAGAATGGGCTGGGTTTGGCAATGTTTGACTTTCCATGTAAAGAAAGCCACAAGACAGACCCTAATTATCCTTTTTGGTACAGTAGCAGTGGTTGAACTACAGCATGTCTTACTGCACTGCAAATGTTTTCACTTTTTTCTGCAAAGCCCTCTGCAACAAACTCTCATTTCCTTGAATGTTTTAGTCTGTGAGCCTCTATGATTGAATTTGCTGAAGTTGTTAGCAAATAAGAATGCAAAGATGGAAATAGGGGGCATTCATCTCATGTAGTATAGGTGCTTATATTTTTTAACAGTATTAGATTTAATAAAAGAAAATCTCAAAGCGAAAGGAGAAACTGATGTGAGGCACTTTCTCTTGACTGTCAGGTTGAGATCTATCTTTTTAAAATGTTTGGAGTCTCTCGGTAGCTTGGCTCTGGCCCTGTTCATGTTTTTGTCTAATAGTTGAAAAAGGTTTCGAGTTCATTAATGTTCTGTGTGGGAAGTAGGGATGAAGTAGTGATGAGACTTATGTCACAAAATAGTATGATGATGTTTTGATCGGGGACTGCTACTTATTTTGTTTAATTGAGTTTATACAGGGTATTCTCAGCAATACTAGGCAGTAGTATTACTAGTAATGCTAGCGGAGATGCTGCTTTACCTGATTCTTTAAGCATAGCTGCATTAAGAAAGCCCAGTTTCATTACATTTGCTTTCCACTTTTTGTTACTGTATGATAGATATTGTTCTTGCGACTCTACAAGAAAGAACAAAAAAATTGTAGAGAATTGTGAAAAACATGAAATCAAAAATATAGGAGACAAATGCTTTTTCCCTGTGGCCTGTCTTGATTATAGTACTGTGAAATGTTATATAACAAAAGTAATATATTCTCATTTGTTGGAATCTTTTGTAATGGTATTTCAAGTGATACAGTATATAAAACATACTAGAATGAAAGGCATTAGTTGAGGGTAGTTCTTGTAATTGTTTAATAAGTAAGTATAATTGGGCTTGATCTATTTATTTCTGACAAGTTAATTATTCTTTCTTAAACTTTTCACAAAAGTTACGAAACGTGATTCTTTCGTATTACTCCACTTCAGAGTTATGATTACTTACAGAGCTGTCTTATTCTTGGCTCTACTACTGATGACAGTAGGCTATTCACTTGAACACTTCTGCGTTCTGTTTCTCTATAATCATGCAAAGGTGGTCACTAGTTGCTTTGAGAGTTGTTCGTGAGTAGGTAAGAGTTGTATAGCATTACTGGACAACAAAGCAGTGAAAAACGCAAAAGACCAACTGAATCATTGGTTTGCTAGATTTTATGTCACTCTTTCTGTTGCTGTTTTTTTTTTTTTTTTTTTTTCTCCTCTTCACCCTTTATTCCCTTTAAATACATCTCATGAAATCTGAATAGTGACATCTGTCAGTTAACTTCTAAACGTTCCTTTGTAGTAGCTTTGTTCTCTTCTGTATCTGTTGCAATACAACTTATTTTTTTCTTTTAATTTTTTCCCCACAAAAGACAAGTTTTTCTTACTTGCTGTAATTGTATATTTTTGTAAACTGTATACCATTACTTTTATATTAACTATGTCTGAAAACTCCTGTCTTGCTTTTGGTAATATTTTCCTTGATTTTTATAAGCATCAGTTCTCAGCAAGGGCTTGGTGTTCTTGCTCTGCCCTTGCTTTTGCTTTTGAGAGCTAGACTGATTAAGTGAATTAGTCTTGTCCCTGACTGTCACCAGTGAGGGATGTTTGCTGGGTCTGCAGCTGTATAGCCCTGCCAATGCCGTAGGTGGTTTACATCAAGAATTATGAACTTGGTGGTCAGAGCCACAGCTCTGTCTGTTCAGTCTGTTCAGTGCTCCACCTGTGCAACAGGTGAGAAATGACCCAGTTCACCCCCTGTGCCATTGTGTGTCATGCAGCTAGTTTATAGCAAAGAGTTACTTACTATGTAAACTGTCCTATCAGTTTTTGTAAAGAGTGTGCTTTCTTGTGCTTTTTTTGTAAAGAGAGTGCTCAGTAGTTCAGGTACGTTTAAATTGTTGATCGCCTTGCAGTATTTTTTTATGCTTTACATTATCTGCTGAATACTCCTAATTTTTAAAACATTAATCTTCATTTTCATTTCAGGATGACACAGAAGAAAACTCCAATGATGGCAGCCAGCCATCCAAAAGACGACGTATGGGCTCAGGGGACAGTTCTAGGAGCTGTGAAACTTCTAGTCAAGACCTTGGGTAATACCATTTTTGACAGTTGACACTTTCTCTAGTCTTACTAGAGAGACAGAGACACTCTCTGCTAGTCTTACTGTATTGTTCAATATGGTTAAGTATTAGCTCTTCTTTCTTTGCTTGTGTATTCTTCATATATCTTTCTGGATTGGGGCAATGTCCCATGAGTATCTAGCTGTCTTTTTCTCTCAGCACATTTTAAGACATTTTATTTTAAAATGACACAAAATGTGCTGCAACTAATTTACAATCAGAAGCACAGCTTACTTGTTTTTAAAACATTACATATTGTTTGAATTAGTTTTGACGCTGTAGTACCTGCTTTTCCTGGTGTCCTGCCTGCTATCATGCATATCCCTTTCTTCATGTTCTGTCCCTCAGCATATTATTTAATGCTGGTTTGAAGAAATATATGTGAGGTGGGGTGTAACAAGGTGACTCTGAAATGGGTTAAGAGGATGCAGTCTTGTAAAGTGCTTGTACAACTTATTAAATATTGTTTATTGACATATAAATTGGAATTTGAATTTCTAGAAATGTTCCTTCTTCGGGATTCTTTCATTTGTTCTAACATTGTTCTTAGATACAGCTATTTTCCTGCTGAAAACTTGATAGAATACAAGTGGCCGCCAGATGAAACAGGAGAGTACTATATGCTTCAGGAGCAAGTCAGTGAATATTTGGGTGTGACTTCCTTTAAAAGAAAATATCCAGGTATTTATTTTTAAAGGTTTTCTTCTAAAAATCTTTGTCTTCATGTAGTTTGGATGTAATCTGCATCTCTTTGACTATAGTGTGAGCCAACTGAGTAAAAAAAGACTCTGGCAAAGGCAAGCCTGAATTATGTATGTTGTACTTTACATTTTTGTTACTGGCGTATTGAAAACGTATCCTATGGTTTTCAAAGCAGCTTAAGACTTTGTGTTACTGCTACTGAAAATCTGTCAACAGGTCTGATTTGGGGGTTAGATCAGCAAGTACCTTTTGAAAATTGACCTGAATTTTATTTTTAAGTGTTTTGTTGGTGATTTTTTTATTATATAGCTATATTTCTATATTCTTTGTCCCTGAATTGGGGCAACATTTCTATGCTGTGGAAGAATTTTAAAAAATGAATTGGGGAGGTTCTAGGATTTGAGCCTTCATTATTCAGAATTGTCAAATCTGGTTCTTCTGTCACAGAATTTATTTTTAAAAGGCACATTAAAAGAAAAAAATAATGTACCTTCAGTGCTTGATAGTGCTTTCTGCATCTGAGCTTATATATCAAGTTTCTTCAGTATTTCTGTAAATCATAACTACAGACAGAGTATTCAGAAAAACTGACCATGTCCCTACAGTGTATATTAAAATTAATTTATAAAATTACCATGTTTGTAAGAATAGTAAAATAATACAGACTCTCACTAACTGGAAATACAATTGTCAAAATACTTTGACACTGTTTATGGGGGAGTTTGCGTAACGGCACACGTTTTTATTGCTTGTTTTTGTTTTCTTTGGAGATTTAGAAAGACGAGATCTATCTCACAAGGAGAAACTCTACCTCAGAGAACTAAATGTCATCACGGAGACTCAGTGCACACTAGGTAAGGAAACAAATTGTTAGATTCCTTGTTAAATTATTAAAAACATGACATACTGAAAATGTGATTCAGTTTGATAGAGAATTGCATCAGTCTCAACTGAAAACATACATTCTGAAATGAAAACCAGTTTATTATTAATTTGTGTAAATTAACTGTGAGGTATGAGTATTCCAGATTTGTTGTAAAAAAAAAAAAAAAATTGGGGATCTTTTCTAATTACTTAGCAAAATCCCTTCTATGTTGTAAATTAACTTTTAGAACCTTCTTCTAGAAAAGAGAACATAATTTTTCAAATTAAAATGTACATCAGTCTTGTGCAAGTTAGAACTCAACAAACAGTGTATCTGACTGAGTTTAAATTTTTAGAACTTAGAAGGGTGTGTACTAAAGCACTTTAATGTACTTGAAATGGAATGATGTAATTGATGTGACTTGTATTGAAAGAGCTCGAAGTATGTTTTTTTTCTTCCTCTCGTAACATGTAACTTGTAACATGTTGGAGATTTAAATGATTCCTGTTGCATTTTTTCATGTACATTCTGGGTCTGTGTAAATGTAATGTCATTTTATATGCTAACAATTTTTGGTATACCACTTTTACTTCTCACCTGTCAGCACTCTTGACTATTTTTTTAAACTTAAATATGTGGGAGAAGACAGTACCTAATTTTTATCAATAGAAGCAAAATGCCATATTCTGCCTCATATATTCATTAGATATGTGTGCTGAGTTAACTGTCCGTATTTTTTGAGGTTATATTTATTATCAGTGGTAGTAATATAAATCAGCCTCCATTCTGTTGTCAGTGTTTGGAGATTAGTTGTGTTGAAACCTTTAAAGAAGGAGTTGTGCATTGAAGCTGCAAATGGAGGCAGTCTGACTTCTGGACTTCAAATGCTTTAATTATGAGTCAGGAGTCTGTGTGCAGTTTGCTGCTCTTAATTGCCCTCACAGTGATTCTTTATTGATTTGTATAGGGAGGCTATGTAAACCTTGTAATTTCAGTTAAGTTTCTGCAAGTTAATGAAACTAACACTTCACTAATATTGGAAACTGAAACTGACAGTTCACCAGGTACCCTTTAGAACAAGGGTTCTGCCTCACAGGGGAGTTTTGTAGGTGGCTGAGTTAATGTGAAGGGGTCTGTAGCTGTAAGGAAGAAGTGAGACTTGCCTCCTTGGGTAGAAGCAAACTCATCAGCCTTGAAAGTTAAACAACACAAGTTCACTTCTATTTGAGAGAGAAGCATTGTGCACAGCAGGTTGTTGTCTTCAGCTGCTCAAAAACTTGAGTTGATCATTCGGGATATAAACAATCCACAGTTAATTTAGCCAGATAGCATCATTATTGCTTTTATCTATTTTAGGTCTAACAGCTTTGCGTAGTGATGAAGTAATTGATCTTATGATTAAAGAATACCCTGCCAAACATGCTGAGTATTCCGTTATACTGCAAGAGAAAGAACGTCAGCGAATAACAGATCATTATAAAGAGTACTCTGTAAGTAACTAGCATATAAGTGAACGAGATCTGTAACATGGAGTATAAGAAAAGGCTGTTCTCAAACTGATAGTGAAATGTATGTGAATTAATAAAATTGTTTTTGTTTCAGCAAATGCAGCAGCAGAATACACAAAAAGTAGAAGCCAGTAAAGTTCCAGAATATATAAAAAAGGCTGCCAAGAAAGCTGCAGAATTCAACAGCAATTTAAACCGAGAGCGGATGGAAGAAAGAAGAGCCTATTTCGATCTACAGACACATGTAGGCAGATTTAAATTTCTTATCAATGTCAGTAGGTAGCTCCTTGCTTGTTTTAGTAAAGTTGGTTTTGGTACCATTTTAACTATTTTATTGTCAAAAGTTTTGATTAGTCTTGTTTCAGTCATGTGGAGACTTAAACAATTTTGCTGTTAAATGAGTAATACTGGTAAAAATAATAATAATATCAAATATCTTTAATGTGAAAACATATTTTAACTTGAAAATACCTGTCTTAGGAAGCATTAAAAATTGCAGTGCTACTTCATTCTAATGTCTTTAATCTGCTGGTAGTAGCATAAAGCTAAGAGGGATTTAGGTTAAGAAGCTTCTGTTGCTATTATGTCTATTCACATAAATGCCTGATTCTTTTCTGGAATACCTCCAAAATTTTGCATGAGCAATAACTAGAGTAAAAAAGTAAACTATCCTCTAAAAGAGTGCTGCCTGTCAGTGTTACACCCTTGGTTTTCTTTGGTGTTACATTATTTTTATTAGATATATTTCATGCTTCTATGCTTGATTTAAAAAAAAAAAGCAGCATTTTGGAGCAGGACTATTCTACTTGTGCAAAGACAGGAAAGCAAAAATTTTCTCTATACAAATTATTATGTGACAGTCTATTATGGAGAGTTTACATTTTTCTGGTATTGATGCATGTTAGAGGCAAGGTAGTAGATAATTGGTTTTATTTCTTTCTAAGGGAAAGAGTGCTTCTGTATAAGTTTCTCCTTTCCATATATTTGTATTATTAAATGGGGTTTTTTTTTATAGTTCAGTCTGGTTTCAGAATTGCATGGACATGTTCTTGCTACCCTCTACCAGTATGGACCAACAATGATAATTCATGCTAAAGATGCCAGTCACAAAAGTCAATGTTTACGGTTTCGATTGTTAGATTTTAACTTTTAAATTATTTTACATAATATACTGTTAGAAGTAGTCTTACTTAATACTCAGTTCACTGGCTGCTTAGTGATTAGACTTAATTGATAATACTATTTTGTGAGTGGGGTCTCTTACTGTCTTAATTATTTGGATTACTCAAGGGAGAACTCGGGTGGCTGTTTCCAACCTAATAAAACTGGCTTGTGAAAAAATATTTGGGAGGGTAGATGGTGAGGAGGGATCAAAAGTTTGTACGTGAAACAAAAATGTAATTATTTTGTATAAAACAATACAGATTATCCAGGTGCCTCAAGGAAAATACAAAATCTTGCCTACAGAGAGAACAAAGGTTAGTCCTTATCCAGTGGCTCTCATACCCGGCCAGTTCCAGGAGTACTACAAAAGGTATTTTAAAAGCTTCCCAACTCCTGATTCTGTTGCACTGATCTACTTTTCTGCTTCTAACAGATGGAAAACATTTCAGTGTGTTTTGAAATCATTTTATGTTTGAGACTTGCTAGTCTAATGGATGCATAGCACGACAGCTTTTGTCAACAAAACAGTACTGGCTGCAAGAGTACTGTTGCTACTGATGTACTGCTGTGCCTGAGATTTGGCCTGCTCAGATATTTACTGTGGTAAAAGGAGACGTTGATTCCACTCCTGCCACCCTCATGTGTTTACTTATCATCTGCCTCTGCATGTGTGCTAAGATTAATGTTGCTATATCATGGTGTTGTAATGCTGGCTTGTGATCACGTGTTTTCTGTGTGACATTCTAACTGTCCTTTGTTAAATTTTTAGAAAGCTTTTATTTTTAAAAAAAAAAATGGATTGGTCTTGTGGGCCAAGTTTAATGTTGGATTTGTAAGAGAGAAAGGTGTTGCTAGTCCGTTCTTTGTATTTCATGAAAAATGTGTACTTGACTGTCTATACACATTCAAGACTTTACCAGTGACATGCTCCCATTTGACAAATACATACTGATTTGAAAATTGTTGCCTAAGCCTTATTATCTGTACAACAGAGATGGTACTCATCCTATATATGCACAGTTTTCTTTAGAGAAGGCCTTTATCTGCATATGCCTTGCTCATTCCAGTGTGTGTGCGTACAGCCCACCCCAAATTCGCATGTTACAGGACATTCTTGAATGACTTCAATTTTATTACATTAATTGAATTAAAAATGCTAGATATCTTGTTTATTTTGCACTTATAAGCTGCAAGTGAAGCTGCTCATCCTTCTTAATGAAGGACACAACCTTTCAAAATAATATTCTATTCCTTACCATGCTTGTCCTTAACAGTAAGAAGACTTACACTTTGTTCTTAGTATTTAAGGTTTAGAGAAAAAAAAAAAAAGGGTAGATCACACATGTTAAGCTCTATCTGTCTATAAGCAATGTGATTATATCTTCACATTCTTCTGGAATTATATTTTAATATGCATTTTTTGTTCTCCTTCAGTAATCAAGGAACTCAGAGCTGTATTCTTTACTTACTTTGCTTTGGACCCTAACTGTGTGCCCTGGGTTAGAATTGTTGTACACAAGCTATGCGGGGCACTGTACATTTATAAACAAAGTGTATAGGCTGCTGCGCTACGTAATAATGTGGATTGGTTAAAAATTTTTCAGGATTCTGTGGCCTCTTATGAAGATGTACGTTTGGAACATTGCAAATACACTCCTCCTGTGTTCCATGAATACTTGCTATACAAAGAAAACAGTTACTAGGTGGTATCACATTTGGGAGGAGAAATTAGTATGTTTCCTATGTTTTCAGAACTGCATGTTTGTATGTGCCTGCCTGAAAAAAAGGGAGCTTTTACTTTTTCCTCATTGAAGTCCTTGTATGCTGTGTGACTTAATATTTATGCATAAAGTACATATGCATTTATTTATTTATTAATTTTAGATACTCTCCAGATGAACTTCGTTACTTGCCATTAAACACAGCTCTTTATGAACCTCCTTTGGATCCAGAGCTACCTGCGTTAGACAGTGATGGAGATTCAGATGATGCAGATGAAGGGCGAGGTGATGAAAAACGGAAAACCAAAGGCAATTCGGTGAGACAAATTGAAAATATTCTTCAACAAAAAACCTCTTTCCCTTCACTTTTGTTAGTTTCATTAGTTTCTTAGTAAAAACTTTAACATTTGCGAAATGAAGGAGAATCATAAAGTGTACTCCTTTTTTTAGTGTTTTCTCTTTAATTTTGTAACACTGCTCTTCAGCTTTCCATTTTGATCCATTTTTAAAGTAAATCAATCAAATATTTGAAATTTCAGGCCTGTTCCTTCTTTTTAAAGAAATCTTGAAGAATCTTCCCAACCACAGCTCTTCATTATGCCCTTTTCCCCAAGGAGAAGTTGCTAGCATTTCTGAGGGGAAGGAACATCGTAGTTCAGGTCACAGCATATTTTGCTACTTAAGTCCCACAGAATCTGTCACTAAAGCAAAGGTGTTGATAGCCTGATAACTTTGTGACATAGAACAGGAAGTACTCAATACAGAGACACTTTATTCCAATTTGAAGAGAAGGGAAAAAGCACTGGTTTTTTTTTGCTTTACAATACATCTTTAAAAAGATGGTTATGTTCACTCTATGCAAACACAAAGTTAACTGTTACTGAAAGTTAAGGGAAACTTTTACATACCTACCTTGACAGTGGTTTAAGTGTTCAGGAGCAGCTGAGCTTCAGATGAGCTGCCTGAGTACAACTGAACCACTGGTCTATTGGTGTAGTTAGTATGGTGACAACCAGTTTCCAGAAATTTAACCCTAATTTTAAGAGAAATAGAATGTAAAATCACAGGTGCATTTAACATTTCCTAGTTCAGTTGACAAACGAGTTAGATGGTGGATATATGTAATGCTGAATTTTGACATGTAAGTATTTATTTTGTTTGAATATTCATAAGATACTCATAACTGAAGACAAAAGGATGGGGTCAGCTTGTAGGTTAACAAGGGAGAGATAGCTGTTAGTACACCCTTTCTGCTTGCATTTTTTTGAGAAAACGAAATAATGTAAATTTACTGTGCTAAATGTTATTTCCATTTAATCACGCTCCAGCTTTTTTACAGTTGGTCTTTAACCATTTCTTCCCAGTTCCCTTTTCCACTGACTTCCATTCCCTGTAATGGTAAAGTAACTGGACCAAGCAGACTATCCTTTAATTTTTCACAGAAATTCAGAAGTCTTTGGTGACAGATTGCAGAAGGGAAGATGTCATTGTGTTGGAAAAGCGTAGGGAAAATTTAAAATGAGAGTCCTGTGCAGTGGGTTTGGCTATGGGAACAGGGATTCTTTGCTACTCATTGGGGCATATTGTTAGGGGAAAAATAACCGTTGAACGTGGAGTTGGACAGTTGTCAGGCCTCTTTCCCTTAGTTTTGGGCTACCTACCATTCATCAGATCTCCCTGGTGATTCCTCCAGTATCCTTTATGCTTCTTCCTTTTTCACTCTCTCCATTGTTGGAGACAGGTAGCAATTTTCCTGTTAGTGTTTTTATGGGCCTGTCCTAAATAACCCTTCTCCTAAAATAGCGGTGAAACATACCATTTCTTGTTGCTGCATAGTTTGCTTTGCTTTTGTGTTATACTCCTCCCTTTGCCCTGTGTGTTTTATCTGTTTTGATTTCAGGCTCTGGGCATAGGCTGATAACTATTATGTTTGTATAGAGTGCCTTTCACTGTAGGGCATTGTTGTTATTTGGCCTTTTGATTTTTATTGTAATAAATGTGATTAATTGTATCGCTTTCTTCTGGAGCTTCTGGAGGCCTTTATTAACACTTTCCTGAGAAAAATCTTGAGCTGCTGTTTTTAATTATGCTTATGTTGATCTCTCACCCTCTTTGAACCTCTTCCCTCTTTCTTGCCTTGTCATTCGTCAAAAAAAAAGAAAAAAGCTTTAACTGCAGCATAAATTCTGCTGTTTGGTTCTGTATTAAATATTGAAGTGTGTTTTGCCTTTGATGGCATTCTTCTGCTGCAATCCAAATTAAATATTTAGATTGCTCCTGGTGAAAACAGTAGATGAGGGTGGCAGAAAAAACCTTCACATGTTTAATTCAAGGAAGTACTATCTGGTAGGACACTAAATGCGTGGCAAGGGCACTTTTAACTTTTTGCTGGCCCTCTGCTTTGTAAACGTCTTTATAGTTGCATATAGTGAATTTCTTGCTGACTTGTAAAGGAAAATGGTTCAAAGAATCATGCTGTTGTGCTCCCCACTCTGGTATCAAGACAAACTGGAAAACATGACTGCAATTGCTGATGCCAGTCTCTTAGCATGAGGAAAAAGAAGATAATGAAGGTTATGAACAAAGGTGTTCTAGATTGTGATGTACCCCATGCTTTTGCAGGAGGAAGGATGTATCCTTCTCTTACCTTAGCTGGCTCTAAGGGGCATAGGAAAGACTTGTCTGTCTATCCAAAAAATAAAAAATATAGCTATGGTATTTTTATTATAGGACAATTCATCTGGCAATGTATCTGAAGGTGATTGCGCCACAGACAACCAGGAGGATTCTTTTCAGGGAAGACAAAAAACAAGAGACAAAAGTGCTACTCCAAGAAAAGATGGTTCCAAACGTTCTGTATTATCCAAATCAGTTCCTGGGTACAAGGTAGAAGAAAAAAGCCCCTGACTGAACTTTACTGACAAGCCTCTCCCTGAAATACTTGGGTTTTTAATAATATGGAACTTCTGCTTGCTGTACTTCACTAGCTGCTCTCCTGTTGTGTGCTCCATCTGTTTGCTTCCTTACTTCCTTTTTGCTTTTATTTCATGTGGGGCTTTCCTTTACCCTAGCTATACACTGGCCTCTGTTTCTGTTGAATTCTTGGATTTCCAGGCAGTAACACCAGAAAAATACATTATGGTTTTATCATTGGAACTCTACATCTTTCTATCTGCCTTAACACAGCAGTCAGAACTGCCAGTTCAAAACTAGCTTTCAGAATCCATTATTTTTTTTTTGTACTATTTAGTGTGGCAGCATACCAAGAGATCAGTGCTGTAAAGTGCAGCTGTGTGGCGGAACATATTGTAATGATGTTCATTTTAAATACAGCCTTTCATCCTGAAATGTTATGATGTATAGGTTGGAAGGCAAGAAGCTTACTGCATTTGTACAGGCAACACTACATAACCACTTTAACAGTATATGGAAAATAGCTTTTTATGTAGTTCATACTATGTAGAAATGTTTGTGGGCAAATGCTTTTATTCAAGCTAAAAACTTGGTGAGGATGTTAAAACATTTCAGCTGTTAAGCAGTGATTGCCAAACCGAAGACCCAAATCTTCAGTATTACTGTATAATAATTTCAAAAATTAAGATAAAAATAAGATTAAAATACTTTTCAGAAGAAATGGGAATTGACATGCATTATTTATGTGGTGTTATTCTGCATACTAACAGAGGATCTGAATATAATGTAACACTTCTAAAGCACATTATTACCTAGTCCCATTCCACTGAAAAGAATGAGAATTTTACATTGACTTATGTGGCAGCAGGAACAGACCCATAAAGAGGGAAAACACTACATTCAGATAGGGCTTAGTATATAACAATCAGGAATGCTTGTGAAGAGAGGTTATGGAAAAAGGAAGACCTTTGTCAGTGACTAGATCGTACATACTGAGAAAATGTCTCAGCAAAAGTGAGCTGTTGATGGCTTGCATTTTTTATATTCATAAATACTTGCTACCTGTATTTACCAAGTTAATAGTAAATAAACTATAACTTATGTTAAGAAGTAATTTCCAGCAAGAATTGGACAGTTTTGATAAATTTTCTCTACATACAGTATCTGTACAAGTTCATAACAGATAGCAGGTTCCAGTTGCGTTTTCTGTTTTCAGGAACTTACTAAGAAATATGCAAACTATGGAGATTTAGACTGTGGTACCATATGTATATTTTTTTATATGTAACTTTGCAAATTGTTGTAGACACAGAATGCATACTAATATTCCCATGAACACGAAATCCAAAGATGGAGTTTGAAATCTTTTTTTTAGCTTTGTTTAACTTGACTTTAGAGATCGTGTGCCACTGGTTTACAGTTTAACTTAGCTATGAGATGTCCGAGTGTTTTCGTAGTCCAATCTATTGAATGGCCCTATGAATGCATAGAGAGAGAGCTGATGGAGCAGAACTTTCTGCCAAGTTCTGAAATTCTAACTGTAGAATGGTAGTCTACAGCATTGCATTTTGAAAATGGATTCCCATAGCAATTACTTACTGGTTCAGAATCAGATATTGTGTTAGTTACAAGGTATTACTCTAAATTTACAGTGCCACATCTTTACAATGTCAGCGTACCCTGCCTGCATCAGCCATCAGGCCGTTGATAAGTCACAGGTGGTGATGTTGTGTTGAGAAGGTGAGAGGATTGGCTTTCTTGTTTGTGGGAACGTTTAAACGCTTTCAGTAAACCCAATAACACAAGTGGTTTTAACTGGTAAGATGGAAAGGTTCTTGTTCGTTAGTCTATAAAAACACCAGATAATGATATACCATATGTGCCTAAATGGTAAGGCACTTTGAGCTGAAGGCTTAACTGATTTAAAATGTTGTCCCTGTGAATTCCAAATCTTTGTAATACTTTTGTTCTGTATTATTCTCTAATATTTGACTATTTTTCTAGGACAGTAATCTTTTGGTTACATGTAGTTAAAACTGAAGGATAATTGCTATGGCATCAACATGCAAATGTATAGTTATAGCCACATTATGAGTATTACGGGATTCACACATTTCCGCTGAGTTATTTTTGAGTAAAAGAAATAATGTATTTTATATGGAGCCATTTTTATTGTCAGTTCTTTAACAAAGAACAATTAGCGTGTTTTACATTTTGTCATGTTACAAGTAGCAAGTCTTTGTTGCTGCAGGACTGGCTACTACAGTTGCACACACAGGGTACTGTTAGAAAGTACAGGAGATTTTTTTGCACATAAAACTGAAATGTATTGAGAAACTATATTTTACAACACTTGTGTTTCAGATCACTATATGGAAATGGAACGCTTTGCATTCAGAATAGGACCTGATAAAAATGGTGTAGTTGGAATGCTTACTTTGAGAGCTGCAGCACAGCAGCATGGAAGTGCAGACTTACAGAGCAGGCAGTCATTGTTTTGACCCTGCATTCATTTTCTCTCCATTCCTCATGCCAATAAGATGAGGGTGTAAAAAGCAAAATTTACTCTAATCAGATGGGATATTGTGACTTCCCATTTGGATTTGATAGACCCTTTTCATAGCATTTCTAAAAGCCATTTATGGTGGTAGAACTTGAACTGATTTGAAATGTGAATAGTCTTGCTTTTTTTTTTTTTTTTTCATTTTTGTAAAAATACTTCCATACTGTTGGAACTTTATTATTAATATGCTGTGATTCTCACCCCCCCAGCATGCACGATTTCTAATGAACACAATTTAGTGAGATGAGACTAGATGGAAGCATTGTTAATAAATGCATCTATATCCATGTCTAACTTTAGAGTTATGTATAGCAGAGTGTTAACCACACATACCCTAAGGCAGATACGCTCACCGAGAAGCAGCTCACTTTAGTTTTGCTGGAGGACCAGGGAGTATGTATGCTGCTGTACATTAAAGGCAGTAAACCACAAATCCATAACAAACTATGTCTGATAGAAAAGTGCACTTGCTATTCTAGAAAGGCTTGATTTACTTAGAAATAGATAAAAACACAATTTAAAAAAAAAAAAAAAAGTTAGAATGTAGCCTAAACAACGGAAGGGTAAATGCTGCAACACTGACGAGGTTTAAGCATGTGCCACTTTTGTTGGGAGGAGCAGGGTATAAAAGTATACATGTAGGACACCTAGTATAGTTAACAGTAAAAGAGTTTGTGTGGTTTTGCTTTCATTATATTTATTATTTTGTAGAGATGTTTGTGAATGTTAGACTTATCGTTTTATTATATTTATGTATAAAACAGGTTGATTCCGCTTTTTTAAAATAAATAAGCAAAAAAAAAGTCTTTATGAATGCCTCTGTCATCTTTTGAAGGAAGTTACCTATAAACATCTGGTACGGCGTTTTCTTTTCTGAAATAAATTCTTTAGACCAGACAATTTGAAGCAGACTGTAGCCATGTTTTAACTTAAAAAGCAGATTGAAGACTTGAGAAAACTTTAAGCAACACATCCTGACTACCCTAAAAAGGAGTTATTAATTATCTTGATAGGTGGTAGAAAAAACTGGCTGGGGAAGTAGACAAACTTAAAGATAAGTTGTATTGCACAAGTTCTCAGTAATTTTTATTTTTTTATATATATATAAAATGTAGTTCTGTTTTCACTTTTTAAATTTATTTTAAAATTAAACTTAATTCTTCTTGCCACATGGGTTGGTAGTTGACTGGGATTCTTTTTGTTTCCTACAAGCCATTTAGTTCCTTAGAAAACAAGGATATGCCTTGAACTCCCATTACTAGCTGCATCTTTGCAGCAACATTTTTTTTAACACTCTTGTACTGGTCAGTTTAACACCAGTGAGTACTCTATTAATTTTAAACCATATTTCTCACTAATTTCATTATACATGGTTGAAGCTCAAGAATGTAACTACTGAAGTGCTTCTGAAGTTCTTAAAACTTTACTTCTTCCTTGGTTCTCGCTGGAATATAACTGTGTTGGTGCCTCTCTTGGGTTGGGACACAGCATACACACGCAAATATTACTCACTGTAAGAGTCTGCTATTTCTCTCTTACCTTTCAAATGGATCTCATGGACCCAGATACACTCCAGGTGATCACTTAGATGATGAATATAAAACTGTAGTTAAATGCAAGGGTATGTATTTCTTACAGCGATTGTGACTGGATACAAGAAAGCATGGTAAAATATAGCCATGTACAGCCTAGCTAACCAAATATTTTGAAACTAAAGATATAAAAATCAAGTTTTTTGCTTTTATAATTGATTTTCGGTATTAAGGACAAATGTCATGCAAATGGAAAACTGTATTTAATTTCTTACCTAAACAGGAAATCTGCATGAAGATTCATAAAGAAGTATATTGAAAAAACACTGACTTTTAATGTCGGGTGACTTTTAATTTACACTGAGGGGAATATTAGCTTTGAATTCATAGAAAGAAGCAAATACATACTTTTGCTCCAATTTGGTTTACGTGTAACTCACTATGTGTCAAATGCAAAATTTTATGCAGTTAATCTACAGTTTTTTTCAGTGCTGCTGCTTGTCAGGTATGGTCATATGTTTTAAGGTTCACACATCATAACAGATAGTTCATTAATTTTAAGAGTTAAGGAGATATATGACATTTCCGTTTAAGCCTGTAAATTCTTCTGGAATGAATTTATAGCCCTCTTCTACCCTTCCAGCCAAAGGTCATTCCAAATGCTATATGTGGAATTTGTCTGAAGGGTAAGGAGTCCAACAAGAAAGGAAAAGCTGAAGCTCTTATACATTGCTCCCAGTGTGACAACAGTGGTGAGTATCTGCATACACTAGGCAGATTCCTAAGGGAGTTTGTCTGACAGATCATTATGTGGAAATATTTAGTGTACTACACTTGTGTACCAACAGTTAGGTTGCCTTTTCTGTCCTTCATTAAGTCCATCTCTATTTAATGTTACATGTAGTAGCACATTCAGTGCACTGTGGGATCTCGTCAGGAGGTGAGCTAAACTTCAGCTTCTGTAAAAGCAAACAGTTTAACTAACTTTAAACTTCATTTCAGACATAAAAGTAATAATATTGGTTTTAATCTAGGCCACCCTTCTTGCCTTGATATGACCCCGGAGCTTGTTGCTATGATTAAGACTTACCCTTGGCAATGTATGGAGTGTAAAACGTGCATTATATGTGGGCAGCCTCACCATGAAGAAGAAATGATGTTCTGTGATGTATGTGACCGTGGTTATCACACTTTTTGTGTGGGGCTTGACGCTATCCCTTCAGGTAATAAAGTCAGAGTTAATTTTTCCCTTCCCACCTCCTCTGAGTCCTGGCTTTCTCTGTCAGAATTAATGTATGCATTGCTCTCGAAAGAATAGTTTAAAACAAGTGTGAAGGGTAGGAGTAAGAAATATAGTAGGAAAGCATTCACGCTGTAGGGCCCCATTTTTAAAATAAGCTTTATTTCTCTCTATTTGGTTGTGCAGAGTTTAACCTCCCAATTCCTGTATAGGAAATAAAATTGGCTTTTACAACAGAATCTGAACAGGCTCACTCAGAACTAGGTGGATTTTCTTTTCCACATCCACAGAATACTGAGAATAATTACCTCTTTTCATAAAAGAAACCTGTAAAGAGGCTGTATTGCTGAATATTGCTGGAATATAGCTTTCACATTAATAAAGTGTTCGTGCTATTATTTCAGTTTCTAAATTAAAAAGTATGCTCAGTTTAATATTTGTAAATGCCTTTTTAAACACCTTCCTTCCCCTTTTTTTCTTAAACATCAAAGCTGGAAGTAAAGTGCCTTGGTGTCAGGCAGCCTGCACCTTTAAATTACCTGGTCACTTGTATCACCTGGCCAACTCATGATAATATAAAGCAAATAACTGCTAGTGCTGTTGCTTTTCATGTAATACTAAATCCATGCTAAGCAAGTTCATGAGTAAGTATTCAGAGGTCACGTGTTCTGCAGTGACTGTATTCCCTCTAACTGCAGTACTTCAGAGATACTGTTCATTCCCATTTGGGGAAGTGCTGGTGCTAGCTGTCACTTTAGTACAGGTTCTGTGGCAGACTTAGCTTTCAGGCTGACCTAAGGACAGAATCTAAACAAAATAGATTATATGCCTACAAAACCATTAAATTACCAAAGTAGCCTTTATGTTTCCAGCTGTTGTAATATAAGCAGTTAAATGCTTCTCCTCTTTGCTCAACCCTTTATTGTTCCCTCAATAAATGTGTTTTAGTGCAAGGTCTGGTGATGGGACCTCTGGCAGCAGTTTAATCTGTGCTGCCTGACTGCACGGAAATAACGGACACTGCTCTGGGGAACAGGACCCTGTACCTGTGGCAGAAGAGCTCTTCATTTCTGCTCTGAGTAACTGCCCATAACCTAAAGCTGGCATCATTCATGTGAAAATGTAACTTGCAAACTCCAGCATTGTTTCCCATAACCACCTCCTTAGCAGTGCTGGCAGTTCCTGAGGTCCGTAAGGGTTAGTGTAGCCAGCGGTTACATGTAAGGAGTCTGCAAGAGGGGGTGAATTTTATATGCTGCTTTCCATACCTTTTAGAAAAGATGCCTACATTTTCAAGAAAAGCACGGGTTGTTTACATTAAAAGAAGTACTGCAAATAGATGAGCGCCTATTAGAATGGTGAAAGCTGCCTAACTAGGTGAGTGAGTAGCAAAGTTAGTTTCCCAATAATTGATAACTTTCTTTTCTTAGGTCGCTGGATTTGTGATTGTTGTCAGAAAGACCCTCCCGTACCCAGAAGAGGAGGAAGAAGGGGGAAAAACAGCAAGGAGGGCTAACCCCCCCCCCCCCAAATTGCTGTCC